CATTCTCTCAGAGCAGACTTTTCCTCCCCACGTAATTGCTTTGGCAATCGTTCCAATGCTCCGGGAAGCACGAAGCGATTCCTCCTCTCCAGCAGCGTTTTTGCCACTCCGTGTAGGTGTCACTAAATCTGATTTCTCCCCTCCAATTATCTGGGATTTGTCAGGTTKTCAGCATCCTCTTGAGCAGATAAACATCAGGATTTATCTCTGAATTGCAGCTCTTCCTSAGGTGCCAACCTCATAAATCTTGCTATCAGATCCACGAGGATGTTTATTTGTAAGATAAAGAAAGCACGGCCTGCTTGGGAGCACAAGGATTTCAAAATCATAAAAAAAAGGGAACTTTTTTGCAGGTCCAGAGTGGGATTTAAAGTTGTCTCTCAGGTGATTTCTTCAGAAAGAAATCTGAAGGAATCTGAGCAGCAAAAGGAGCAGAGACAACAAAAATCCTAATGCAGATCTGAACGATAACCCTAACCCTAATCATAACCTAACCCTAACCCTAACCTAAACCTAAACCTAAACCTAAACCTAAACCTAAACCTAAACCTAAACCTAAACCTAAACCTAAATCTAAACCTAACCCTAATCTAACCTTAACCCAAACCCAGATTTATGTAATTGTTATCTTCACAAGATAAATTTTATAACCCTAATGCTAATCATAGCCTAACCCTAACCCTAACCCTAACCTAAACCTAAACCTAAACCTAAACCTAAATCTAACCCTAAGCTAACCTTAACCCAAACGCAGATTTATGTAATTGTTATCTTCACAAGATAAATTTTATAACCCTAATGCTAATCATAGCCTAACCCTAACCCTAACCTAAACCTAAACCTAAACCTAAACCTAAACCTAACCCTAACCTAACCTTAACCCAAACCCAGATTTATGCAATTGTCACCTTCACAAGATTAATTTCATAACCCATAATGGTTTTATTTATGGCCACCAAAAGGATCTCGAGAGCCAGGACATCCTGGAGCTGCTCCTGTTCTCTGCCCCATTTTGGAAAAAGAGAACTGCAGAACTGCAGAGTTTAACGGGGTGGAAGAGCAGCTCTTGGCTGGCATCTGATGGTCTTGTGACAGCACAGACGATTGAGCTCGATTGGGTAAATTCATGAATGAAARGGCTGAGAATTGTGAGCAGAAGGAGCAGCCAAGGAGGGAGAGACAGAGCTGGGAGCTCCTCACTGGTGTGGGGAAGGAGAGCTGCACACCTGGGAAATGATTTCCCTTTTCTGCCTTTGACCTGCACTTCTAAAATTTCAATTTCTTCCTTTTTTTACAAGCAATGAAACAGCAGAACCGTTCAGTTCTGGATTTGAGCATTCACTGATAACTCAAAACACAGCCAGATTCCTCCTGGGCTTTTTCATGGAACTCAGGAATTAAAACCAGCGTTCTGGTTCTTTTCTTTAAAAAACCCAGTTCTGTTCTGTTGTTGGACAAAATAATTCCCTGTGTGGAGGAGATCAGCATTATTTTTTATTATTTTTTATTATTTTTTAGGGTGCATAACTCACTGTGGTCACCCCTTTTTGTTTCCATGCTGTTTCCCTCACAAACAGCTGGGAAATGATTTTTGAGAGCTCCAGAACTGAAAGCATCCATGAAAACCCTTCAAAAATAAAATAAAAATTCAGGATTTAGACAGGATGTTTGGTCCATGGGGCTTCCTCAATTTTTAATTACTGCACTGGCAGTTGAGTTGTCCCACTTTTTGGAGTGGCCAGCATTCAGCCAAGCACCAAACAATCACAGATTTCATTCTCTCTCTTCCCCCTTCCACCTTGATCCTGCTTTGGGATTGCTGATGTGCCACAGCCATTCTGGATCCAAAGTGGTCATTTTTAACCCCAAAAAATGTCAAATTCCAGAGGAAATATTGCTGATGTGCCACAGCCATTCTG